CAGATTGGCATCCATGCCTTTCTGAACAGGGTGGCCCGCCACAAGGACCCCAGGAATTGCGACTCGCCGCTTTCCTCCCGCTGTGATTCTGAATTTCTGAGTGAGCTCTGTGTCTTGACTATGACTTGCCAACAACAAACCTAAAACTAAGATGAGCGCCCACGCATGCGGATGCGCGTCTGCGCCCAGATACGTGTCTTCGTGTGTGTGGGCGCTCTTCTTGAGTAAGGCTCGCGCCTACACGTGTAAAAAATATGTACTGGAACTAACTTGAACTTTGCCATAGAGCCGTACGCGAAACGGCTTTATCGCATATGCCAATAACTAACTTGTGACGAGCCGTGTACGAGTAGTATAATAGTATAGGATTATAAAAATCGGGCACAAGTTGCGTCTTGTGAGCTAGTACACTCGCAGTCACGCAAGTGAAAAGAAAAACAGATGATTTATTTAGGTGAATCTTAACCCCTAAACGGCTACCGCGAAACGGGGTGCCCGGAAGGGCGATATCACGGCGGCCTAACTGTGCCTCCGTGCGCTCGCCACATACCCCCTGCTGCCCGAGGGTCGTGTTAGTACTTTATTGGGCACATACAGAGGCGGTGGGAAGCCACCACGTTCCCTTCAAATTTTCCGCCACAGAGCTCCGGAGCGCGCTCTGCACGAGCTCCTGGGACGCGGTTTCGTCTTTCGATCCCAGACGGTCGTCGCACGTCGGCGCCAGTGAGGTCCGCTGTCATAGGTGTAGCACGCTACTAGACACACTGCCTCCAAGTTGAGCGGTGGAAAATTGTGACGAAGCCACGCACCGAAGCGCCGGCGTCCCTCTGGCAATCTGCCACCGACAGCAACACGCCTTTGATCACCGGCTGCTTGCGCTCCGCATACTCTCCAGAAGCTGTTGGTTGTGTGGCTGGTGCTACTTCTATCAGCCTTCCTCATGCACAATGTTGCCGTTGAGCTACGAGGCTGCAACCCGTCGTCATTTGAGTTTGCTGCCAGCCACACACAGCGCGTTCCTGCTGCACGAATGGTTGGACAGGTGTGAACAACACCTCGTGGGGGCGGCACCGCAGGCGTCCATTGAGGGGTCCAGGTGATAGCCCTGGGCGGGCAATCCATACGCCTAGTTGGGCTTCAGATCGCCCGATCGCGTCCCGGTGAACTGACGTCGGATTTGTGACGCCGCCGCACCGCGCCGCGGCCGGGGGCCCTCTGGAGGCTGAGGATGGCCGTGGCGGACCTAGACCACCGAGCTCTGGGAGGTAAAGTGTCAGTGTATATATTGTAGAGGCTGACCACGTGCACAATATCTCTCACTCTAGCTAAGCCAGGGGAGGCTATTCTGGGCGTCCACACGGCTTGCACCGGTGACCCTCGCGACAAAGCGAGGGCGTCCGGCAGAGCGACTGAAGAATCGAGGACAGAGTCACAAATCCCGCTTGTTGTGCATGTTTTGAGGTCGGGCAGTGCTGCTGTCTTCTCCACGCAGCAGCCGACGCCACCAGGCCTCGGTAGCTGAGCAGCAGGAGCCTCCTCGCTGCTGGCAGAGTTGCGCCTCTGTTTGCCGCCGCTAAGAGATCGTTGTTGCGGGAATCCAGGGAATCTAAAGGAATCTAGAATCTGTGGGTCCGAGATTCGATCTGGGACCTGAGCCGCTCGGGACCAGCTGCACATGACTCGGGGCCACTGCCATGTCGCAGACGACTGCTGGATCGGCTGTCGCTCCGACCAGCCGTCCTGCAAAGGAGTAGTGCGGACCGACAGCGAGTACGCGGCGGCGTGCATGATGGGGAGGGTGACCCCCAAAACGGACAGCTAGCGGAGCGCCTTCGTTCCCTCTGGCGACGCCTTCGCGCCAAACACACCGTGACGTGGAGGCATGTGGCGGGTCACAGCGGCAACAAATGGAACGACTACGTCGACGAGCTAGCTGCTCGCGGCAGGCAAGGTGACAGAGGCTCAAACGCTGCCGAGTGGGCGGACAACACCATCCCGACGGACACTCCCGACGAGGGGAGCGACACGGAAGGACCCGCCCCCGCCCCTCGGGGCGGGGGCCCCCGCCCCCCCGGGGGGCCCTTTGGGGCCCCTCCAGGGGGCGACCCCTCCGGGGAGGCCGGCCCTCCCCGTGCCGGTTCTCCCCAACCAACCCCGCCGGCAGCGCGAGCTGCCGGCCATATTGAGCGGTTCGTCCGCGTCGCGCACTCGTCCCAACCGAGGGCCGCAGACTCGTTCTGCGCGCCAACGGCTGGTGACGCTGTGTTGCCCTTGAGCTAGTCCTTCCCCGGTCGCCTAGCCTCTGCGCTGTCTGGCGGACGCCTGTATGCCATGCACGCGGACCACGCTTGCGTGGGTACGTGGCTGGCAGGCTGACCCGTGTGCGGGGTAACCCGCGCACGGGGAAGCTTCACGGGTTCGAGCCGTCAAACATTGAGCAGCGGAGGTGTGCCGAGGGGGACCGGGAGGCGGTAAGTCGTCGTCGCCCGGCGCTGCTTGCAGCACCATGGCGATGGCGCTAAGAGGTTCCTCTTTTCCGCGCCCCCCCCCGCAAGGCGCGCGATACAAAGGAATAAAATAAGACGGCGTTCCTGTCAGTACTGACAGGAACGCCGTTTAGGGGTTAAATCTTATGTGCAACGCACTCACACTGACACACCGCACACACACGCACGCACTGCGGATTTCAAGTCGGTGCTTACCATGCCTCACACGGACGCACAGCCAGTCACACACGGGTGACACACACACGCAAAGCATAGTACATGGTACATGGTACACGGCGGGTCTCCCTCCGCGGCGCGGGAAGCCGCAACACGAAGCCCGGTGCACCTGAAGCCCGTTACTGAATGGCGCAGCAGCAGCCACCGCCGCCACCGCCGCCTCCTCGGCCTAGTTCGCTGCCGCCGCCGCCTCGGCCGCCGCCGCCGCCGCCGCCGCCGCCGCCGCCGCTGCTCCGAATGCGCAACACGATCACGGTCGTGTCGTCGCGCGGCTGGAGGTAGCCGTCGCAGTCATAGGCGTGCCTGCGCGCGCGGGCGCGCGGGTAGTGGTGG